GCCACTTGTTCACTTCCACCCCTCCTCCAATGGAGAAGAAGAATCAGAGGAAAAGACAAGGAAGCTCATGGATTGAGATAAGAACCATTTAACAAGTTAATATAAATTAATATTGTTATAGCAATACCAATAATACTTAAAATATTAAACCAATAGAAAATAAAACATATGATACAATTGCTCACCACCCACTGACTGATACACAGCCAGATCCCAAAGAGCAAGAGTCAGAGCCTGAGAGCAATCGTAGAAGAGTCTGAGCGAGCCCAACAGAGGTCACAGCAGAACACAGATGAGTCCCACAGTAAGAGCACAACCGAGAGAGCCAACCAACCCATCAGCTAACTTTATAACACATGAACAAACGAGCTAAACAAACAAGTTAACAAGCTATTCCCACCCCCTAATCATGATATGAATGAAATACCCCTTCGGTCAGTTTGGGTCAGCTGTCTGAACTGTGTGCCCCTCCCACACTGCTTGTAATGAGAAAGGTGGGAACACAGGTGAAATATCAGAAGCTGAAAAAGTCCTTGAATTAGTGCCAGCACTCCCCAGCACCGACTAAAAACCACCTTATCAGTGCTATTCTCAGGGCAAATCTAAACCACAGCCTTACACCACCTGCTGTGAAGAAAAGTAACTCTGTCCTGACTAAACCCAGCACATTCTGTTTAATAATTAAAGCATTTTTGAGGGGGAAAAATGTGTACATTAATTCTTTATGAGCAGAAATACTCTGACCCTGGATCTTGCAGAGAGGCTAATCTATACTACCACCAGAGGTAGCACATTTCTCATGAAAGGCATCTGGTCACAATTTAGATGACCATAGCACTAATACTATCAGTTACAGCGTCTGGTTGGGAAGCTTCAGAGTACTTCAAAAACTGGCCACAGGTAGTACATCCATAGAGCTCACTTCATTTCCACTGATGTACACCCACCTCTGGATGCTATTCCATGGCTTTTAAAGATTTGTGACCAGAAGTTGGGGCATGTCATACCTGTTTAAAAGTATGAGAGTGAAGGTATATTTGGCTAAAAAGAATAAAACTGAATGTATACAGGGCTCTTTCTGCAGCAGAATCTAATTTTGTTTCCTGTGACAGTGCAGAATCCAAATCTAAAGGCAAACTAACAATTTACGTTCCAAATACTTTCGCTGACAAACCCAGTCATCATACCCTGTAAGAACAAGTAAAGTTTAATAGTCCTATCCCTCCTTTCCCCTTTACATGCTCAGTAGGATAAACACAAAGGAACACCATGTCTATCTAGGTTGGGAGCTTTTGAAAGCATCTCACTTGCTGTTTGAGCCTCATGAGGAGCATCAACAACAAAACAAAATTTTCTAGGATTACAGAGTCAGATCCCACACTGAGAGGTAAACAGAGCTTTTCGCAACACAATGCAAGAGTCAAAAGGGAAAATTCTATGGAAAACAGCAGTAGAAATGAAGACAGAACATTAATCTCCATTCTACATATCTGGATTTGGTTAGTAAGCTTTAAATCATCAGCTAAAGCGAAGAAGTTCATTTTACCTTACCATGCAGTAGGGCTAGGAGCTCACTGTGCCCTTTTCCTAGTCACGCTGCAAACACGCATTTTGGGTGGAAGCTGGCTATTTAGCCTATTTTTATAGACATTAACAACAAGAAAGCCTTCCATTCTCTGACTTGCCCAATTAAACAGAAAAGACCCAGGTGATCAGTGGACACTTCCATCCTACTTCCTACTATTTAGCATTATGTAAGGCATACAGAAGCAGCATTTTGAAGCTGTTGCTTGGCTAGATCAGGATTCAGGAGATTGCCCTTTTAATTCTTTTTTCTGACAGGAGTCTGTTACAGGGTCATTTTCTCTCACTGTGTTCCCACACGCAACAGTGATTCTAATCGATGAACTGGACTTTCTCCACAAATGTCAACTGTTCTTAAGATGGGAAAGGAGCTCTCTGTTTGCTGCAGGAATTTAAACAGAATTTGTAAATCCCCCAGTCATGATCTTTCTCTCTGCAGGGCTGAGACTTCTGCGATGCTGTAGAGCTGAGGAAACCTGTTAAGTAAGCACTCCACAGGCATTTAGGGTTTTGACTAGGGTCTTGCTGTTAGAACTATCATTCCCCATAACCAAATGGAAACAGATCTCCTTGAATTTGGTAGATAGTCCGTCAGGTACTGCTGACAACGCACAAGACAGAAGCCTTGTGCAAGCAAAAGCATGAAGGAAAAGAAGTCAAACCATTGTGATTATTCCCCCGTCCTCCTCAAGCAAGCTCAGTCCTTACACTGCAGCGTAACCTCTGAAGGACTGAGCAAAACTGAGCCTTGGGAGCACCCTCGCCTCTTCGCACCACCACGAGCTCGTCTCCTACAAAGCTGTTCGCAGTGGTGATGCAACGCAATACACTGAAAAGTGCAGGGCTGCCCTCTTGCGTCAGTCACTATTTATTCATTTGCCTGGTTTTATATTACTGTTCCTCTTGGCGAATTTCAGCTGCTGCCCTCCAACAGATATTTCTTCTTTGGAAAGGCATAAAATTTGTTTCTGAGTATTAACCTGATGGAAAGGTTCAATAAATAAAAATACAACTGCTGTATTTGCGACCTGGAGACACCCAGGACTGGGCATAGATTGCTCTTCCAGCTAGAATCATCCAAATAGCTACACTGAGTTATGCCTAGTCTCCATCTTGAAATGAAAAAGAAGGCAGAGGAGAGAATAAATCAGGAGAATTATAATTAAGAAGGACAGAGAAGCAGATTTATTAAACCAATCTTTCCCTGGAACCCTCATAGTAAGCTATATGCGAGTTAAATATAGAACCAACACTTCTCTAGGGAGCCAGACTCATGAACAGCTCACCAGGAACGTGCAGCAGAGATTCTAGTCTCAGTCCTGTTGGCTGGCAGAGATCCTCATTTTTAAATCATTAGTGCTCATTTCCAGGGTAGTTCTTGCAGTAATGGTTGTCAGAAAATAGTCTGCTAAAAGCTGTGCAGGATTTTGTGCCCACCACTTCTACTGCTTATTAATGACAGACACCTAAATATTTGTAGAAGGTAGCCCCTTTTCAGAGCTACCAAAGCAACTTCAGCAAAAATGAAGACCATCAGTCGTATTCTTGTTAGTAGAAGGACAGTCAACATTAACTCTGGCCTAGCACTCCACGCTGTGTTACATTAATTAGTAGCACCTATTGCTCATGATTCATGCCTGCTCTTACCCTGTAGGTAACCCATCACAACGAACAACCCTGTAGATTGCTCATTGCTCTTTAAGGTAGCCAAATCAGCACCTCGCTAAAGTGGATTCAGTGAAAATCACTACTCAGGGCTGGACAAAACTCATATAATATTTGGAATAGGAGAAGGGCAAGAAAGGGGCTGTCATTTTAAAAAATGCTTTTCATAGCCCATATTTTTCATAGAATCACAGACTGGTTTGGGTTGGAAGGAACCTTCAAGATCATCCTGTTCCAACCCCCTGCCATGGGCAGGGACACCTTCCACTAGACCAGGTTGCTCCAAGCCTCAACCAGCCTGGCCTTGGACACTTCCAGGGCTGGGGCATCCACAGCTTCTCTGGGCCACCTGTTCCAGTGCCTCCTCACCCTCTCTGTGAAGAATTTCTTCCTGATATCTAATCTAAACCTCCCCACTTTCAATTTAAACCCATTACCCCTTGTCCTGTCACTACAGGCCCTTGTAAAAAGCTCCCCCCAGCTTCCTTGTAGTCCCTTCAGGTACTGGAAGGTGCTATAAGGTCTCCCCGGAGCCTTCCCTTCTCCAGGCTGAACACCCCAACTCTCTCAGCCTTTCTTCACAGAAGAGGTGGTCCTATTTTGTTTGGGTTGAGACCACTGTAATCAGCTCCAAGCTCCTAGATTTCAACGGATGCATAGCAGTTATCCTTGCTGTCAGTACTTCCTGAAGAATCATCCCTAAAGAAAAATTTCTTTGGACTGTTGCCCGGCCTGTACTGTGGTATTTTGTGTTTACAACTTATTCTGGATGGCACAGCTAATGCATGCATTGTTTCATCCTGCACGTTACTGAGCTCATCTACGTACTAAACTGGTGAAAGCTGCCAGGAATCTTCCACGTTTTCTTTTCATGTACTGACACCTGAGGTGATAACAAAGTATAAAGGCATTTTTGAAATATTTGACGAATATTTGAAACACATTACCAATACTTAACTATGTGGGCAAATGTTTCTTTGAGATTAATTTTTACTTTAACTGGCAAAAATAAGTAGTAAAAGGATCCCACCCAGTCAGGTCATCTTGAAAATAGAAGTTTAAAGATCTAAAAACCTCAGAAACAGTCCCTTCAGGTCTCATGACCAGCAAAGTGTCTTTTCTTATCTGTCTCGTTCCTTCTCCCTAGTTGCAAAACATAACATAATTGTTTCCCTCCACACACTTTCATGTCCTTGTTTGCCATATTCCTGCAATTTAAGGAACATGTGCTATTCTGTAGCAGGTTGCAACCCAGCAATTTGCTGGACAGCTGACGTTCTCAAAAGAAGAGAAATTAGAGAGGCTATTCAGTGTGACTTGCTAGGATTCCCCTTTCAGCTAGTTTGGGAAGCTTCTGTTCCGGAACAACAACTTGCTTTTTGTACTGTTCTGACTCTTCATGTGTTCCCAAGGTGGCAAGCTTCCCCTGACCTGTTTTTTATTGCCATATCCTGGACACAAGGCGCTTTTTTTTTTTTTTTTAATCAGATGAACAAGCATTCATGTCCCACTTTTACAGGCATTTTTAAACTGCTGCCCTTTTACTTCAATTCATATCCTTGAAGAAGCTTTACCAGGAGATTACAGCAGTCACAGAAAGCTTGTCTTCTAACTGACAGTTCATTACAAGGGCATGAGAGGAAACATCTTTCCATCCTAACCAGCCAATAAACCCAAACTCTTCATGTCTTCTTTAACTCTTACAGTTCTTCCCTGCCTTTACTCCCCATCTGAATGAGTCAAGGCTGCAGCTATTCTTTTGTTGCATCTTCTGGATTTTCTGAATTTGCCTGTGTTGCTGGGTCTCTGTCGGTTGTGTCAGACGAATGGTGGATGGGATCCAGACCAGCTGGTGTCCCCTGTCCAGGGATGTCATTGAATTTCTGTCTTATCCGTGCTACTTCAATGTATTGTTTACCCATTTGGACAGCTTCGTCATAAGAAGGTGGCAACTCCATTGCATAGGGACTGTAAGCTGGAGGGGACACAGTGTTCTTGTCCATATCCACAAATATCGAATGAAGAGGGGCACTTAGAGGGTACTGCAACGAGCTATATGCTGTGAAGAAAAGGAATTTAAAAAGAAAATTAAACACTTGCATGAAACACAGAGATATAAAGGGCTAATCCTGCTTTTCTCCAAGAAATTATGGTCTCATTTTTTGAGGTGTCAGAATATATTGCACTATATACTATGCTATAGACATGGTCCAAAAGCAAGCCGTCAGAAGAGAACATGTCTCTCTGTATCCAGTAATGACTGTGAAACACCTGACATAGTACATACTTGTAGCAGATGTAGTTTCACTAGGGTTCGTACCTGAATAACTGTGAACAATGACTGACACTAGAGAGAACTTTGGCTGGAACAGTTGGACAGTGAAGTGGGCGGAAAAGTTAAAAAAATAAGGGAATGGCGATAAGAACAGATGTGAGAGATGACACATAAGAGGTTAACCCACCATGGACTTTATTTTAACCACTATAGCATTAAATCCTACTTGTCTTCTGCACGCACTTACTGTGTTGCTCTGATGACCTTCCTTTGTCTCTCTTACCCAAGCTATGGGGCTGAGAGCACATCAGAAAGGCCCCGTTATTGGAAGGGCTACACACAGATTTCTAGGCACAAGTCGCACAGCAAAGCCCTATTGAACAGGTGATTCCCAGAGGATACTTACAGGTCACGGTGCTATGGGCAGTGCTGTCACTGTCAATAGCAGTAACTGTCAGATCATAAGGGAGCCTCGAGAAGGTCTCAACTGGAGGCCTCTTCTTTCGGCAGCAGAATTTTATGCAGGTTGCTGTGATGCCACAGAGAAGGAGCAGGAACACAGTCAGCAAGATTAACCTTAGAGAAGGAAGGAGAATGCCGTAATTTCACTGCTTATGTTTCACTTCTTCCAGAGCTGAACATAATTTCACTCCAAATGGATGAAGACAGGCCAAATCTCCTAGGTTTAGTTCTGAATGGGTGCTGGATCCTGAATTAGAAAGCTGGATCACAAAAAAATCACAAATTGAAGTACTACTGACCATCGGCACAATTCCTTCTGGCTCATGGATATCATGATGTTAATTAGCTTTGGTTGTGTTTTCAGCTTTTGTGCAGTGAGAATGGCTCCACTTTCAACAGTAAGAGCGGGTATGTACTTGGAGCGAAAAACAAGTACAAGCTTTCACAAGTCTAGGACCTATATTTAGAAATGAGCACAGGAATTCTATTTTTATGTCTTGAAAACACAATTCTATCTCTCGCTATTGTTTAACAAAGTTTATTGTTTAAGGATTCATAGTGTACCTAGGCCAACATGCTAGTGTTTCAGGTTCTCCTCTCAGTTGAAATTCTACCTTCCCACCCTATAATTTCTGGAATGAATCCATTCTTCTCATGAGCCAGGTGAGCAGTAAGACATGTCAGGAGAAGAGATACTTGAAAGTTCTGTAAAGAAGTAGGTCCAAGGACAAAGCTGAAGTGCATTTGTAGTGCCTTAACAGAAATTACTCTGTGACAGATCATGCTCCTGAATTTCTCGTTAGGATTATATTCCATCCTAAATATGTATCAAAATAGTCTCAGTAGGATTCTATTTTTTTTTCCAAACCAAAGGTGGTACTCACCCACAAGAATCATTATTCCAAAATAAACATTTCTTTAATAACTGTTTTATTTGGTGTTAACAAGAGTATATTTCTGCTAGCAGGAGAGTCAGATAACACAAAGACTACACTCAGTATAAAGGATGGAGGGCCCTAAACTTCCACAGATTTGATGTGTTTTCTCAAAACTGTTGTTTTAAAAAAACTCTTTCAGACAACTTAAAACCGTGTATGAGAAGAACATGCTGCCCTGCTGGAACTTAGCAGTGAAACATTCCTCCGGTGCGAGGGGTGTTACCTCACTGCTAGTCAATCTGTGTTTCCTGGCACTCCACGAGCTGCACACTCCTGTGCTCTGTGAAATCGTCGTGCCTTCCTATGCTGCTGCCCTCTGATGAAGGCAGAAATCAGCTAGGTAAAGGCACCTCAGCAGTACAAATCTCTGCACTAATTCATTACCTTTCATGATTTCAATGGTGCCTAATTACAGAAGCCTTCTTAAAATGTTTTAACTAAGTGTTTTTAAACGGTTCTATCAGCAAGTTCCAAGAAAGCAAGATCAGTCCAGAGGGAATGACAGCTAAAAGTAGCCAACCCGTTCTGCATGTTACCATCAAAGTTAATAACTGGTGGAATGCAAACTATCAGAATAATGTTAGGATACCTATGATGCACGTGCTAGGCAAAAACGAATGCACTTGTGACGAGTTTACCCTTTTACTGACCAACATGGTCTCCCTTTCAGTCATTCAAACAGCCACTAAAGAGGTTTGTGATCAGCTTGAGTTCAGAATGAAAACGCCAACGCTCTAAGCCAAGTCTCTTGTCCCATAAAAGGGAGAGAGCCGAGGACTGTGCGTTAGGCAATACTGTGCCGAGCCCAACTCCTCCCTGCTGCACAGCTGCCACTGTGCTCGGCAAGGCTGTCTATTTAGGAAGAGTTAAACTGCAGTGTACTCAGAAAGGAAAGATGACATATCCCTGGGTGAATGCTGTACCCTGCCTGACACCTTATCTCCCCTGTGGGCTCACTGGTAATATATCCGACGGGTAGTTTTCATAAAACCAAGGAGAAACCCTTTCCTCCATCCTGTCTGAGAGAAGAGTGTTTCCATTACCTTACCACAATTACTGTTCATAATAACTTTCAAATTACTCTGGGTTATTAGGATTAATAACAAACTTACCAGACATACCACAGATTCATCCAATTAGACATGTTCTGAGGGCATCTGTGGAGAAAGACAGATGATCCACTGATTTAAATATCTACAGGCAAACAGTGAAAGTATGGCAGGGCATAAATTTCACACAATTTCTGAGGTGAAAAAGGGAAAGCAATGGGTAAGAGTAGAGAGCAAAAACCCTTTAGCCTGTTTCAGAGGACTGTTCTTCGTAGCTGTAATATTACTAAAGCTGAGAACATGCAAATAATCCCATTGTAAGAGTTGGCTTCTAAGTCAACAAATGTTTTTACGAAGTGGTACTTTACTGTTGTTTAGGCGAGAGAACTACACATGGTGGGTTCTTGAAAAATTAATCAAAATGTTATTTAAAGTTAACTGAGGTGAGGTACCTAATATCACAGTCCTGTCTGAAAATGCCAGCCTAAAACAACTGCCTATGTCCCCCAATTACTTTTAAATTACTTTTTCATAGCTCCAATGCAACCAGGAATGGTTTTTTTCCGATCTACTTACAGTACAAAAAAAACCCAAACAAACAAACAAACCCAAACAAACAAAAACCCAGCTTCTATTACATTTCAGGAGGGCAGCTGCCACGGCAGTATTGTACGTCGTGCAATGCAGTGGATTTCAGGTAATAGAACGATGCTTTTGGCCACAAAGAGAATCTGCAAACTGGTTTTTTTTCAGAAGACGACACTTCAGAGTCATTGTGAAAGAAAGGATTGTTGACCTCAGCCCACAGAGCAAGGCCAGCCAAGTCAAATTTGTAAATTGGTATCGAGGTAAAAAAGGTAGCAGTGACGGATGACCGTCAGTAAGTCCTCATTCTGACCCGATAATGTCACTCCATCACGATGGGAACAGCTCTGGTAACAGACATCTGAAAATTTGTGATTACTTACTGATCGGAGTTCTTGCCGTTATTCTCAGAAGCACAGAGCGATGCCCGGGAGAGGGGAAAAAAGAAGAGAACGAGCTAAGCGTGCAGCCAGACGAGCAGCACCTCCTGTAGCTGATGCGTCTGCTTAGCAGAGCCCGGGTACAGCAGCAGAGCCCGGGTACAGCAGCAGAGCCCGGGGTACAGCAGCAGAGCCCGGGTTACAGCAGCCCCGCTCCGGCAAGTTCCGGGCGCCCACGTTGTAGCAGGGTGCGATATCCCCAGGGACAAGCGTCCCTCTGCAAGGGGACACCGGGCGGTCGGGCAGCCCGAGGTCTGCTCCCCCGGCGGGGGCAGCTGCATAAATAACCCTCCATCATCACGCG